ATATATGTATATATATATATAAAAATATATATATATATATAGCTTTATTTTCACACCTCATCGGCAGCCAGGACCTCGGCCGTCGCCACAAGGACTGCATTCGACACAGTACGTTTGTGTTTGGGGGCTAGTGGGCTTTTTCTCTTTGTGTTGGGTATTTTGAGCGCCAAGGCTGTGGCATTGAGCACAACACCACCGAGATTCTGTAGCATTGAGGGTGGCTTTGTGATGGAGTCGACCAACTGTGAACAGATAAACGAGTGAGATTATACGGGTATTAGTATGCATATCTGCTTGTTGTATATATCTTTATATATGTATATATACGAGTGGTACATATGCACATATGGACGCAAGTTTTAGGGTTCAATCTGTACAGATGTGTCTTATGAATATGCATCATTATGGTTGCTTAGTAACAGAATCCACCACCTGTTGCGTATACATGTTTCCGATTGCGTGCGGGTTTTGTGATTAAATTGCTGTGGTTAAATTCACACCGTTTCACACACCACAGCATACATATACATATCGCTTGCACACGACTACGAGATGACAGTTTATTTAGCAACGCGCGACTAGCTTCATCACTCACATTCGGTTGGGAGGTGACTGTTCAACGATCGCACGCTGATGACACCGACATTTGCACGCAAGGATCTCAATACACACAGGGTTTCATTTCATCGATGTAGGTAAGTGAAAGTGTCCAAGCTTGTGAGGAAAATACGCGCCGAGGCTTTCGTTTCGAAATCTGTGTACTAAAATGTACATATATATACATATTTGTATACATACAATAATATAAATATTATATATACTCACTGACGGACTTACCAATCCCTTTGTGGTGATGTAATGCTCCAGCTTCTTGATCTTCTCCAGTATCTGCTGTTTGGTCTTCAGCAGCAAAGCCGCCTCTTCGGTCCATTTGGCCGCCTCTCCTCTGTTTGATATGATAACACGATGTGGTAGTTCAAAACTTTATGTGCGTATACGAACATATGTATAAATCTGTAATCGTACATCTGTGCTAGTGGGTATATCTATATATCTATATATATATATATAAATATGTTAATGCTTGTATACGAGTGTGTATAGATGCGCGAATATACATATATGCACATTTAACCGGAGGTATATAACTTTTCACACATATAAACTACTCAACAACACCAAACCCTCTGACCAGTGGACTGCGAGCCCAAAACCAAAGATACTCAGCTCGGTGCCTGCGCCCTATTACCGAGTATGACCACGTCTGCAATACATAAATCACATGAATCGACTCCAATAACAATACACTTCTAGTCCTAAAACGTCACTTACGCCAATTTCTTCTCCGCCAGTTGCATCTCCTCCAGTATAGTCATTCGCTTCTGAGTGATGGCTGTGGACAAACGATCGTTTTCGATCTGCAGGTATCGGTTTTCACGCTCAGCCTCCAGAATGAGTTGGGCTTCAATCGGGTCGAGTTGGCCCTATTGTAGTGCAAACGAGTGCAATAGTAGGTATTATAAATTCGACGAGTTCTAAGATTAGAAATGAAAACGACCCGGTCTTAAAAAGTGATGCAATATTACGAAATTGTTAAAAATCTGTCTAATAGTAAGATTCGGTATAGAACA